CCAGTTTATGGTCGAGGTTGATGCTTCCAATAAGGGAATTGGAGGAGTACTGTCTCAACAATCTGTAGAAGACAACAAGATGCATCCATGTGCTTACCTGTCGCGGAAGTTGACAACAGCAGAGCGGAATTATGACGTGGGAAACAAGGAACTGTTAGCTGTAAAAGCTGCCCTCGAGGAATGGAGACACTGGCTAGAGGGTGCAGAGCAGCCGTTTTTAGTCTGGACAGATCACAAGAATCTGGAATATATAAGAAAGGCTAAACGTCTCAACTCCCGTCAGGCCAGGTGGACACTATTCTTTAGTAGGTTCAACTTCACACTCTCTTTTCGTCCCGGGTCTCAGAATCAAAAACCTGATGCTTTGTCTCGTCTTTACGATCCAGAACCACTTGCTGTAGAGCCCAAGACCATCCTTCCACTTAACCGTGTGATCGGAGCCTTTTCCTGGCAAGTGGAGTCGGACGTTAAAAAGGCGAATGTCATGAATCCAGCACCTAGCGAGTGTCCCAACAATCTGCTGTTTGTTCCTGAGGCTCTTCACTCCAAGGTCATCCACTGGGCTCACTCATCTGTGCTTTCGTGCCATCCGGGAGTAACAAGGACAATGTTCAGGATTCAACAACGTTTCTGGTGGCCAGCCATGAGGAAGGATGTGGCGGAGTATGTAGCGGCTTGTCCGGTGTGTGCGTGTAATAAGACCTCGTCTCAAGTCAAGATGGGCTTGCTCCAGCCGCTGCCGATTCCCCAACGTCCTTGGTCACACATTTCAATGGATTTTGTGACAGGATTTCCTTTATCCAGAGGCAAGACTACGGTTCTAACAGTGGTGGATCGATTTTCAAAGATGGCTCACTTCATCCCATTGACCAAGCTTCCCTCTGCCAAAGTCACCACAGAGGTCATGATGAATCACATATTCAGGATCCATGGATTCCCTGATGACATTGTTTCCGACAGGGGTCCACAATTCATTTCCGGTTTCTGGAAGGAGTTTTGTCGACTCATAGGTGCCACCGTCAGCTTGTCATCAGGATATCACCCTCAGTCAAATGGACAGTCGGAGTGTCTGAACCAAGAACTAGAGACTACGCTACGTTTTCTCGTCTCCCGGAACCAGACCACCTGGAGTGACCACCTCACATGGGTTGAGTTTGCCCACAATACTCTTCCTACGGCAGCCACAGGTCTCTCTCCATTCCATTGTGTCAATGGTTTCCAGCCTCCGCTTTTCCCTAACAACGAGGAAGAGGTGATGGTTCCATCAGCTCATGCCATGATCAGACGTTGTCGCCGAGTTTGGGCTGGTGCTCGCAGTCTCTTCTCCGAAGTTCAGCTCGGATGAAGGCTGTTGCAGACGTCCATCGCAGGGTCGCTCCCTCCTACAGACCAGGCCAAAAGGTTTGGCTTTCCACTAAGGACTTACCACTCCATGTCGCCTCAAAGAAACTGGCTCCGAGATTTGTGGGTCTTTTTCTGGTGTCCAGAGTCATCAACCCGGTGTCTGTACGCTTGCAACTCCCCAGGAATATGAGAGTGCATCCGACGTTTCACGGCAGTAAAATTAAGCCAGTGTGTGAGAGCACACTTGTTCCCGCCTCCAAGCCCCCTCCACCGCCCCAGTTCTTTGAAGGGGGTGAGGTTTACAAGGTCTGTAAGCTACTGAAGGTCCGTAATAGGGGGAGGGGGAAGCAATTCCTGGTAGACTGGAGGGGTTACGGGCCTGAGGCTTGGAGCTGGGTAGCTGCTTCATTTATCGTAGACAAGACTCTTATCCACGACTTTTACAATCAGCCTGGGCCATCAGGAGTCGGCCCTAGGGGGGGGTACTGTTGTGCACCGACAGAAATGCTAGAGAGGTTCAGGTTCATGTTTTATGTTTGTTTTCTCACTCACCTTTTATCTCTCATTCCAGGCTTCCTGATTGTTTTCACCCTGTGCTCATCAGCGGCAGTCCCGCCCCTGATTGGTCTCACCTGTTTCTCATTATCATGTGTTTAAATTCCCCTGTCTCCCTGTGTTTCTCGTCAGTTCGTTTTTGTCGATTGCCATGGTCAGTGCTTTACTCTTGTCTCTTGCCACAGTCAGGTCTATGCTCTTTTGAGGTCTTGATAAGTTTGATCCTCACTACGTGAGCGTTTTCATTTTTGTTCTCCATTTTGTAGAGACCATTTTTTGTTGATCATTTTTTGCTGTTCATTAAAAAATAAAGTATCTTACAAATACTTTAGCTCTGTCTCCCGGGTCGTGCAATTGGGTCCTACCTCCTAAGTGTCTGAGTTTATAACACAGGCTATAAATGCACTATACAACAGTGGCGGTTCTAGACCAATTTGACTGGGGGGGGCCAGTCTGGGGCCAGTTATTTTCTGAGAGGGGCACACCAAATGCAGGACGAAAAAGACAAAGACACTATGAAGTAATTGCACATAAGAAAACAATGCAATACAGTTATTGGTATTTGTTTCAGTACATGTTACTAGCCTCAGGCCTAGGGGTACCTGGGCCAGCAGCAGACTCTACCTCTGTATATGAAAAACACACAAGGCAGAAATGTTAGCATGTTTGTAGCTCAACTGCAGGATTTAATCTGCTCATTTGGAAACATTCCACAACAAAAGCATTTATCCATGCTCATTTCCATGAGGCAACAACACCAGAGATCAATAAGGCAACAGCATCCACATAACAACGATGACATCATGGTAAAAATACAACAGAAATGTACAATAAAATCGTCACACTCAGAACTGACTGTTATCCTCACACTCAAATTCCAATACAATACACACACTTCAAAGAAACATATACAACCTATATGCATAAACACAATCTACCTCTCATAGTCATTTACATCATACCCAAGCAACACGTGTCTACATAGTACTGTTTAACCTTAGCGTTAGCTCCGCTAGCCGTTAGCTCCGCTAGCGTCACATTGCACATAACTATACATAACTGCCTTAAACAACACACTCATAACACTTATACTGGGACACTATGGTGACATTTGAAGGACTTAGAACCCACCTGTATATGACAGTGGCGAGCCGTGACTTTTATACCTAGGCCCTCTGACCCCCCTTCCCTCGAAAAAAAAGAAGAGATATTACGTCACAGCGTATACTTCAGCGTAGTATCAAAACCCGGGGTGCAAAACGCATCAATGACAGCGACCCTCTACCACACAAAACAATACAATTTATATAAACACCTATCATGACAGGCTCCCTTACTTACAGCCAAGTAACAATTGCAAATGAATTAAGTCGGCACGGCGACCCACATTGAAAATGACTTAGGCCTACCTTTGATGATCAAATCACTTAAACACAAAGTCCATCCTCCTGTCCTTTTGGATGAAGCACTTGATGGCGGGTCATGCAGCTGATCCTTTGCCACTCCAGTTTATCATTGTAACTCAATCTTGAAAATGACTCGGTTAATAATTTCGCAACGATGTCATCACTATCACTGAAGTGAGCCATCATGAACGAACTTATGCTAATTTATAAATCTATCGATCATAAATCTATCGTTTAGATTTATGATTCAAAGATAATAAAAGTAGGGTAGACATGTGGATATTATCCGGCTGAACAAAACGTGCATTTATCTAACAGGTTCGTTTTCCACAGACCTTATTTCGAGCTATTTTCCAAAATCCTATGGAGAAATCCCACTGCTTCCTGTCGAGGGAATCCGAGCGAAGCTTACTTCCGGGTTATAGGATGCGTCACTGCACCACTTGCATAGACCTCACAGCGGGCGGAACTTGTCATAAAGTCCGCGAAAATAAAGCCCGCCCATTTAGAGGGAAGATATGATTGGTCAATTGTACTGTCATTTGACATTACTCTCTCGTTGAATTACTATAGCTGGCCCTCTGTGAATGTAGAGAGGGACCAACAAGCTCTCCCGTCTTCACATAACTCGCAGAGACGGCATTTAACCCTTCACAATCTAACAGAAACTGAACAGGCAGATTCGAAGGATTTATTTCTTTGGAAATATTATTTTAAATACAATTAAATCAAGTTATTTTGGTAAAACTAATGAAAAATGTAACAACAACAACATATAAAAAAAATATTTAAAAAAAAATGTTTTTTTCTTAAAGGGATAGTGGAAATCCGCGAATTTTGGGTTTAACTTATGTATTTTTATTAAAAAGAAGCATATTAAACAATTTTTTTTTATTTCATCCGCCTAGTTTCATTTTATTTTCAATTTTACTGCGCCCTCTCAATGAAACGAAATACTTCGGGAATCGTCGGGAATCTTCGGGTGATGACGAGAGCTCAGGAAGACGGGCACAAACAATGGCGGACATTCAATAGCATTTGCATGTGAATAGCCGACCTTTATTATGGTGAATAGATGTGTTTTGTATGGCTGTAGTGCGACAGAAAAATTCTACGTGACACAACGACATTGGATTAACCTTGAGATGCGTTTTTATTCCGTTGAACACAACTTTTGATCACAAATCAAAAAAGGTAAGACGTAATTATTGTAATATTTTTGGAACCGGATGTTGTTTACTTTCTCTTTTCTGGCTGATAGCTCCAGGAATTCGAGGTCTTACAGTGATGACATTACATGTATGGAATCTGTGGAGTCTCAGCTTTAACTCGTATATCTTGTTTGTGCAGTTAAGATAGTAATAAGGGCATTTCTACCGTGTGTTGTGTGTAAAAAAGCGTTAGCATTAGTTAGCATTGTTTCGCTCAATGCTAATTCAAAGGCTTGGTATTACTCTTGTGTTTTTTCTAGCTAACAATTGTTCTTATTGTCAGTTAGCGGAGTTTCTTACCTTTAAAAGGGTATGAAACCTTAATAGTTTCATAAATGTTAAGAAGCCCTGAGACATGTGAGAGAAAAAAAACGGTGGGAGGGGTCCACTGGGGGGACCTTCGGCCTTAACTGGTTAACAATGATTAATATTTGTAAAGGCTACAGGTGATCTTAAGATGCGTGAGCTATGCTTAGGGACCTACCAGTCAAGATTATTTGTGCGTAGGGGTGCATCATCTGTCGCCTGGTCCTGGTCATCCTCGCCATTGCCCATGCCGTGAACCATCACCTCGGGCTCGGGCTCGAACAAATAAGGACGTAATGGTCCATCTTCTGGCTCAATATTGTCACCATCGTCGCTTACTGAACCGGATTCAGATTCAGTTCCTAAAACGACATTTTCGTAGGAAAGCCGAGAGGATGTTTCTGACTCGCTATCATCACTGGATACCTCGTACAATCCTTCTTCTTTGTCTGGTATATTTGCTCTTCCACGTTCATTCTGCATAGACGCCATGGTTTGTTATCGTATCGTCTTCCTGAGTTTTCGTCACTTCCGGTTAGGCTGAGAAACATTTCGTTTCTAAAAAACTTCGGGGAAGCTGCAATAAAGTGCTTCTAACATGCGTAAGGCAATTATTATATATTTTTAATCAGGTGTGATTGTTTTGGTACGTAATTATGCTTGTATATAAGTTAAAACGAAACTATTTGAGGTTCCATTTCCACTATCCCTTTAATGTTTTCAAATATTATTTTTTAGAATATCTTAGGCCCTCACAGAGGGCCTAGAGGGCCCTGACGGCTCGCCACTGGTATATGAAAAACACACGAGGCAGAAATGTTAGCTTGTTTGTAGCTCAACTGCAGGATTGAATCTGCAGGGTTCTAGATCCTCCCGAGTGGTATCGCCCTTTAGTGATCAGTCCGCCACACAGTTGCAATGTAATACAGTTTAATGACTTCTAAAGAGACATCAACAATAAAAAATATGGGGGTGACACTTTTTCAACTTAACTTATTTTTTTTAACAATGAACTGGTTTAACCCTTTACATACACATATTTATTTCAGATATAGGTATCGAATCTCCCTGCGGATGTAACTTACAGGCGAATACAGTGATGTGCTCTCACAGTACCATGGAAAAGTGAAAGTGACCAGAGAGGAGTGATGATTGGTTAACACGGGATAACATTTCAGGGTAAGCTAATCAGAGACAGAGTTGGGCGGGTCTTGCCTTATGGGGAAAATACACAGACACACAAACACTTGCTAATACACACACATACATGACAACGCCCACCACCAGCACACACACAATGGCAGATGCAAGTATCAACGAGAGCAGCAGCGCATTTACAACTTGGAGATATAACCACTTTGTTACACTGCCAAAATAGTGTAGTTGTTGTTAATGTGTACACTGCCAAAAGAGTGTAGTTGTTTTTATTTAATATTGCACTACAAGTGCACTACTTAGAACTTGATTGTTGAGGCTACAATAAAGATGCCTGTCAAAATGTCTAAACATATCTTTTGTGTTTTATTGTTCCACTACATTTCATAATGATAATTTCTACAATGATGGGGAGTTGTCTTTTCTCTTACGGTGCCACAGAACAACACAAACACTTGTATTTGTATTGTTATTATTTTTAAAGTAAAGTAACTTGTTACTAGTTACTTTTATAATTTGGTAACTAATAAAGTAACTAGTTACTTTTTTGAGAGCAGCAACTATAACTATTACGAGTTACTTTTTTAAAGTAACTTGCCCAACACTGATTATAATAGAGCCAAAAAACAAGCAGTTAATCAAAATGTAACTGTCATCAATATACAATCATTGTCATAGTTCATAGTCCAATGTTTGTGTTAGGTGTGCTTGCATGAGTTCAAGAGAAAATCGGGGGGGGGGTGGCATGTGTGTGTATGTGTGATACTGGGTGTCAGAGGTTACTAGCACATGACATCTTGTGTTCAATCAACTGCTTCCAGGAGCAGACAGAGCTTGTCAATTGGTCGCTGTAAGGTGCTACTCTTGGTTTTCACCAAGACACTTCGGACAAGCCCTTTCGGACCCTGACAGTGTCTTTATCACCCGGCCCAGTTGCCAGGAATTTATTGGTGCTGTATTATCCACGATGACGACGAGATCATTGGGGCGAAGGTTCCGTTTGGGGTTGTGCCATTTGACTCGCTGTTGCATGATTGGGAGATATTCTCTTATCCATCTCCTCCAGAAGAGATCTGCGAGGTATTGTGCCTGTCTCCATCTCCTCCGTGAGTACAAGTCCTCCTTGTGAAAGAGTCCAGGTGACATAATCGGTTTTGACTTTAGTAGAAGGAGGTGATTTGGCGTAAGGGGTTCGAGATCGTTTGGGTCACTTGAAACTGTAGTCAATGGTCTGTCATTCATGATGCTCTCAACTTCGCACAAAGCTGTCTGTAGAGTCTCATCATCCAATCTCTGTTCTTTTAGAACGGAACACAGAATCTTTGTTACAGGTCTGATAACCCTCTCCCAAACTCCATACGGCGGATTAAAAGTCCATTTTACTCCGTCCCCTGAGTAATGCATTTTGAATCTTGTGTTGATTCAGGTCTTTAAGAGCAGCTCTCAGCTCTTTCTGTGCTCCCACAAAGTTTGTGCCATTGTCTGTCCTGATGCTTGTCACTTGCCCTCTGCGACATATGAATCTGCGCAAAGCATTGATGCAGGAGTCAGTGTCCAATGAGCTCGAAACTTCCAGATGTATGGCACGACTCACAAGGCAGGTGAAGATTACTCCCCAACGTTTTACATTTGCTCTGCCTCGTTTAACCTCCAGGGGTCCAAAGAAGTCGATACCAACATGAGTAAAGGGTGGTAGATCTGGAGACACCCGATCCTCTGGGAGGTCAGCCATTTCTGCTCTCCAACTGTGGCTAGCATTCTTCAGCAGAAAACACAGGCTCTGATTATCTTTCTGGCTGTCGAGTTAGCACGAGGCAACCAGAATCTTTGATTTAGTCTTGAGAGCATGTGGCTTCTCCCCGAGTGTCCAATCTGCTGATGGATGTGGCCCAGGATCAGTTTGGATACAGTAGAGTCTCTGTGGGGTTCTTCAGATCCATTGGCATTGCTGATTTGCTTATTCGTCCTCCCACTCTTAGCATGCCTTCAACTAAGATTGGGTCCAGCTTCCTGATAGAGCTGCTTGCTCTTATTTGCCTTCCTTTCTCCAAAAGTGCATGTTCCTGAGAGAAGTGACGTCTTTGCTCGGAGTGAATTATTGACCTTTCAGCTTCTCTAATGTCCTCCACAGACAGATGTTGTGATCCAAATGTCAACTTTAGCTTGTTCATTTTGTCCTTTAAGGATTTCAAAAGAGTCCCATCTGGGGCAAGGTCAGCTTTTGCAGATGTCCTTCTTTGAGCAGAAGAATAATTCCCCTTAATTTAAGTATCCAAGCAACCCCTCTCTGCAGTCTGCTCCATGATGAGTAATACTCAAACAGTTTGCTGGTTGGGTTGGTTTCATGGACACTCAAACTGTTAACTGCTACGTCCTTTCTAACCTCTGGGTCCTCTGATGGAATAAGGCCCAGGTTCTTAGGTGTTTTTGGCCAATATTCCTTTTCCTTTTCCAGATACTTAGGTCCTGTTATCCACCTTGATGTCTTTAGAAAGTCTTCTACATGCAGCCCATGGGACGCGTCGTCGGCAGGGTTGTCTATGGAGCTCACATGCCTCCACTGCTTCTCCTGAGACAGGTCCTTGATCACTGAAACTCTGTTTGCCACAAATGTGTGATATCGTTTAGTCTGGTTGCTGATGTATCCGAGGACAGAGGTGCTATCTGTCCAGAAGGTTGAGTCGTTGAGGTCCACTTTAAGCTCCCTTTTCAACATCCTGTCCACCTTTACTGCAAGTGTTGCTGCAGTAAGCTCCAATCTGGGAATAGTGATCTGTTTGAGTGGAGTCACTCTGGATTTTCCCAAAATAAATGCAACATGGACCCTTCCCATACTGTTTGTAAAGCGAAGATAGCTGGTGGTGCCGTAACCTTTTTCGTTTGCGTCACAGAAGTGATGAAGCTCTGCAGTCCTGATTGGTCCAAAATTCTCAGGTTTCATACACCTGTGCACTTGAAATCTGCTAAGCTGTTCCAACTCTGTGATCCATTTCTGCCATTGTTTTGAGTATTCTTCTGGGATGCTTTCATCCCATCCACACTTTATCCTGCATAGCTATTGGAGGATCTGCCTGGCTTTAAGGATACATGGGGAGAGGAATCCTAACGGGTCGTGGATGGAACTGACTGTAGAGAGGATCCCTCTCCTGGTAAGAGCTCTGTTTTTGATATTGACTTTGAATATGAAGGAGTCTTTCTCTGTATCCCATTGGATTCCAAGTGCTCTTTCAATGGACAGGTTTTCCCTGTCAAAGTCCAGATCCTTGAATAGCTTTGCTCTGTGATGCTCAGGTATACTTGCAAGCACTTCACGGTTGTTACAGACCCATTTGGTCAATGAGAAACCTCCTTTGGCGCATGCGTCTCTGAGGTCTCTGATAAGCTTAATGGCTTGTTCAACTGTGGCCACTGTTTTGAGGTAATCATCAACGTGAAAGTTGGAATTGATTGTTTCAGTTACCTCTTTGCTGTACTTGAAGCTGTTGTCTTCTGCCACTTGTCTGAGAGCATAGTTAGCAATGCTAGGTGAGGACACAGCACCAAAGAGGTGGACCTTCATTCTATATGCCTCCAATGCATTTTCAGTGTCTCCATCTGGCCACCATAGAAACCTAAGGAAGTCTTTATGCTCTCTCTGGACTTGCACTTGATAGAACATTGCCTCGATGTCCCCCATGAAAGCAATTTGTTCTTGGCGGAATCTAAGCAGAACTCCAATGAGAGTGTTCGCCAGGTCTGGACCTTGGAGAAGTTCCTTGTTAAGAGATGTGCCTTTGCATGATGCAGTGCAGTCGAACAAAACTCTAAGTTTGCGCTTTTGTTGATGGTAAACACCAGGGGCGTCGCCTGGGGTAGGCAAGCCCCGGATGTTTTTTCTTTAGCCCCGGACAAATTCTCCCTCAATAATATAATACATTAACCTACTTTACCTATAGGACGGACGGCAGAAATGTAATTTCCCATGTTCAGTGAATGCAACACAGAGGCAAGACGACGCCACCAGACCAATCAGAGAGTTGCATGGAAATAAACGTGTTTTATTGGCTGACAGGTACGTACCTCTCCTCTGTGATAATGTTTAAACTTTAAACTGTCAGCCCCGGACGCGG